CTTCGCTCCGTCGCAGGAGGAAGGAACGAAGGGCTATAGTACTAGAGAGCTACACGTACTCTAACCAGACCAGGCTGTGTGACTATAACGTCAATTATACAGGGTCAATATACTACTATTACTAGGGTATTCTAACCCTAGCAATACCGTTTCTTGGAGCTATACGTACTCGTACTCGTTGATGCTAGACTGAGAAAAAAGTTTTCTGGTGTATTTTTTTGAAAAACTTAAAACACATTTTAACATAATATAATGTCACTATAATTGCAATTCTTTGTGTACATGTATTTTTAAATGTAAACAAGTACTAACACATACGTGTCGTTTAATAACAAAGGTTTGTTTACTTTTTGCTCAGTCTAGCGTCAACGAGTACGTATAGCTCTAGTACTAGTCTATAGCCCTTAATAGCTCCTTTCTCCTGCCTGCGACGGAGTGAAGGGCTACTCTATAGTACGAGTATGTATACGTACGTATGTAGTATTACGAGAGCCCAGACCATATGAGACATATAACCCAGATATATAATGAGATATATATATATCAGACATATAACCCTAACCCTCTCATAACTTAAGATTATGATGAAAATAACACATTTACACAAAGAATTGTAATTATAGTAATATTATATTTTATATTAATGAGTAAAATTTGTGTTTTTCATAGAAAATACATCAGAAAACGTACTTATCTACCAATCATAAATTAAAACAAATATTTGTAAATGGCGTTTGTTCTCTTTTTTTGAAGGTTTGTTGAGTCAAAGCAAATCAAGCAGCCAATCAGAGGAGCCCAATGGATATAACGTGTAGGAAAAAAAAATTCGCTGCCAGGCATATAGCCACAGCGTAATAATATATCTTTCATCCCAGCTAGTGCAGCTAGACGGTTATCATCAGAGGGTAGCGGACTCTCACACCGTGTTGCACCAAGCCGACGGTGCTTGGCAGCATGGAGTGCGTATGCAGTAACAGCCAGCCGGGCTGCGAGCAGGGACAGTGCACACATAACAACAGCCAGCCGGCCTGCGAGCGGGAAGAGAGCACACATAGCAACAGCCAATACAACAGCAGAAGTACAAGAGTAGTACAAGTAACACCTACTCTTGTTGGGTTACATTATTGTATCTAGTGAGTAGTGTAGTAGTGGGGCAAAAACAACGGCCCATTCCTATTTGACAACCCCAGGTTTAAAAACCCTAACCCTAACCCTAACCCTAACCCTAACCAAACTCACGACATGGGTGTGTAAACGCTACTTGTACCAAAACAACAGCGGCGAAAATCGAAAATGATTTGGTTTTCACCTTGGCAAAGCTAAGTGTAAGTAGCCTAGGCAATTACAAACTGCGTGATGGCCTTACTATAGTTTCAGTACCATTTTTACCACCCGTAACAACACACTCACCTGCCAAACACAGCAATGTAATTAATATAAGCTTCATTTTTAAATATTTCACAGTAAACTTTCTTGCTACGTCAGAAAAGGTTCGTCTTCAGTCAAGTTTTTGGTTAGTCATAGGGCACGTGATCGATGAAAACACTGAATGCTACTGCCCCCTTGTGGCCGTGTAGTATCGGAACCATCTAATTACCGAAACGTACCAAAAATGTGCACTATTGTGTCTTTCGGAAAAGCCTTCTTTTGAAATTTTCGTGGTATAATTCGGTACTAGAGTGCAGTAATTTAAAGCAGTGCAGCACATGTTGATGTTGTATAGCCTAAAGAAGAATAAGGAAGAAACATAGTATATGTACTCGAAAACTCGAAAAAAAAAAATTTAATCTCACATATATTACATACACACCAACAACAGTCAAGTGTACTAATTACTTTTGGTGTCTTTTGGCGTTTTCGTAAATTTCAGTCCTTTTCGGTGTCATTTGGGGGGGGGGGTGTTTTGGGAACCGTTTGATGCCTTTTTGTTCATTTCGATGTTTAGAAGAACCAAACACTAACATCTAAAATGGAAGCTTTCGTATCTGTACGTATTTAGGGTTGATGCAAATGGAAATGTGCCAATGCACACAAAGTTGAAGAGGATCTCCTGAGGAGCTGGTATATAATCTCTATATGAGATGATGTTGAAATAATATAGTATAATCAAGTGCTTAATGGCATGGCTATATTATTGTAGCTGGTATAAGAGAGGATACATCAGGACAGCGAATTATTGATGTAAACAAACTTTATTTACGGTCGTTCTAGCTCTAGTACTATAGCCCGGCAGCGGCAGTTAATGTAAGCGGCTATAGTACTAGAGCTACGGTCGTTCATGATCTTTGTTGTGAGTCTGACGGCCAGATGAGACGGGATACTAGAGAAGCGTTGCCGAAAGGAGATGTGACGTCATTAGGCCCTCGTACGTGAGGTCATGAGGTCGTTAGGTCGTGAGGGATTACATTTACCACTCTTGTCACAACAACATGAACAAGTGTCAAGTCGATGTACGCAGTGGCTACGCGTCCGGAACAGGTCGCCTAGCCTCCAGGCTACGCATCCGGACACGACATCCACTCACACAGTGATCGCGCGACTCGCGTACACGCATGATTGCGCAATGGGACGCTCTGTTGATTGCGCAATGGGACGCTCTGTTGATTGCG